CAGTCACCATCATCGATCACCAAAAAACTCCAAAATAATCCCTTCAAAATACTCAATTCGACCTCTTTTACACTGTCCTGAACCTTGTTTTTTCAAAAAACTTCCCCTAAAAACCTAAATCGGCCTTCAAAGTTTCAGTCGAAAAGTTTTTTTTAGTGTTCTAATTCCTTTTTTTTATTGTGTTTGGGTTTTTTGGTGCTACAATCCCCTATTCCAAGAGATGGTTTTTTTTTTTATTGTTGCTTTAAGTGGTTTTTTCTTATTTCAAAACATTTTTTTTATATTTTTTGACAAAGGTTTTCCTTTTTTTTTCTTTCACTTTTTTTCAATCATCTTTTAAGCTCAATTTATAAAGCCAAATGGGAATCTTAGATCACTAATCTTCTTAATCTTCTGGATTTTAGGGTTTCAATGTGTCATTAGTGACCTTAGGGCTATAAACTTCCCCTAAAAACCTAAATCGACCTTCAAAGTTTCAGTCGAAAAGTTTTTTTTAGTGTTCTAATTCCTTTTTTTTATTGTGTTTGGGTTTTTTGGTGCTACAATCCCCTATTCCAAGGGATGGTTTTTTTTTATTGTTGCTCTAAGTGGTTTTTTCTTATTTCAAAACATTTTTTTTATATTTTTTGACAAAGGTTTTCTTTTTTTTTCTTTCACTTTTTTTCAATCATCTTTTAAGCTCAATTTATAGATCCAAATGAGAATCTTGGATCACTAATCTTCTTAATCTTCTAGATTTTAGGGTTTCAATGTGTCATTAGTGACCTTAGGGCTATAAATGTGGTTGTGACGTGTCAACCTATAACTTAGATCACAATTTGCCTTGGGTTTTTGCTTTCTTTATTTTGGCTTAAGCCAAGTTCCTAAGAAGGGTTAGGGACTTTGTCATGGTTGAAAGAGGGAGTCAAGGGGTGGACCTCTTTTTAAGGGGATGGGATTTGCAAAAAAATGAAGGTTGGTTGGCCCCTTTAAGTGCCGTTAACCTCCATCTTTTCCTTTTTCTAAAAAAATTTAATTTTATTTGTTCTTCTTTTCTTTTCTTTTTTATTAAACAAAATTAAATAAATAAATTTTAAAACAAGATTTGGGCTTTCATGTAGTTTACGAGCCATAGCTTTGGGAATTTAGGCCAACAAACACAAATAATCTAGATAACAGAGATTGGGCCTTAACCCAATCAATTTTGAATACGATTTTAATTCGCACAATTAAACCTGACAAAGTCTAAAGGAATTTAAACTTGGACAAAATTAAGAATCTACAATTATATCTAGATAAAAAAGAAGGGAAAATGAGGGTTTACAATTTGTCAACTCTTCTTCCCCATTTCCCACCCACTTTACTCATTTTTCCAATCTCTTATCTTTCCCTCATTTCTCCCTCCTCAACTCCTTTTAATATTTTTTTCTTTTAATTTTTCATTGTTAATTCAATACTAAATAGTAAAAAAAATATTTCTGTAGTTTTTTATGTCCAAACTCTTTTATTTTTCAATTTCAAAAATCAAAACATTATTTTGGTTTTTTTCAAAAATAAAATGGATGTTTTGAATTTTAATTCTAATTTTTTTTCATTTTTTATTTTTAATTTTAAACTTTTTATAAAAAAATTAAAAATAAAATAATATGATAGGTGACACCTTTCATTACTATTTTTGTGATGGTAATATATAGACTAACATCATCAATCAACTAGACAAGCTGCTTAACAAAAGTCAAGTTTATTGATTATTAAGCTTGCTAACATAAAGACCTTGTTGCTAAATAACTTCTTTTGCACCAACAAATGTTTTCTCTTCAAGCCTTGTGATGTACAAAAGATGGAGCCTTCAAAAATCAAAGGAAATGGTTTTAAGGTATGTTGTAAATATCATTTTTTTTCAAGGTTTATTTCATCTTTATCAATTATTAGATGCAGAAGGGACAACAAAATGCCTTTAGAATACAATGAAACTTTGGCTTCCTTTGTTTCAAAAAAATTGACTTTCAAAAAATGTTTTCTAGACAATGTTTATATTTTTTGAATAAATAAAAATGTTATGTTATTTGGATGAGTTAATAAAAAATATTTTCTATTATTTTGTTTTTGTTTGAAAAATCCGTTTCTTTTCTCAAATAATATTAATATAACTATTAAAATATTAAAAATTATTTATTATTAAAGTATATTGAAATTATTTATTATTAAAATTATTATTCAAGAATAATTATATTTTAGTAATAATATTTAATATTAAAATATTATATTAATATAAAAATACTTAAAATAAAACTATTTTTATGTTTATATTAATATTTTAAAATTTTAAAATAGTTTACTATTCTTAAAATATTATTTTTATTAATATTAACATAATATTATTTATTATTAAAATATTTATACTATTACAATATTTATATTTTATATTAAAAGTATCTATTATTAAATCAGAACAAAATTTTTTAATTTATATCTATTATTAAAATTGTCATATAAATACCATAATAAATAAAATATAAAATTATGTATTTTAGACTAAAAAATAATAAGAAATTATTAAAAATATTCATATTAAAAAATAATATTATTATATGATTTAATATTAATTATTAAAATAATACAAATATTATTATATATGTTATTATTTATTATTAAAATAATAATATAATACTATTTATTATTGAAATATTAAAAATATTTATGTTTAATAATATACAAAATAAAAATATTTAAAATTGAAATATCAAAAGACTTTTAATGCTAATATTTTAAATTTTTAATTAAAATTAAATGAAATATTTTTATTAATATAATAATATTTCAAGCCAAATCAACTCAAGTTCAAACTTAAAATATTATGTTCAAAGTCTTATTTGAGTATAACTATAAAAATATTAAAAATTAAAATAATAAAAGACTTTTAATATTAATATTTTAATATTTTAAAATAAAATTAAATAAAAATATTATTTATTAATATAATAATATTTTGGATCAAGTAAAATTAAGTTTGAGCTTAAAAAATCATGTACAAAGTCTGATTTGAGTAAAATTATACTCAAACACATTGATAAGTAATTCTTCTCATATGTAATTTTTTTTTGAAAATTGTCTCCCCCTTTTAAAAAATAAATATAATTTTTAGAAAAACTGTCTCGTTTTTCATTGACCAATAAGTTATTTTTTGTTGACCGATAAGTTTCTACTAAACAAACATTTGAAAATATAGAAATGATTTTTCAAAAGTTATTTTCTGTGAAACAAATGGAACTTTATGTGAAATCACCTTGTACTTATGATATCAAACCACTAAACACCTTTGATATAAGATGAAATGCCTTCTTTGAATGAGATTTTTTACAAAAACAATGTAAAAGTCACTTCTATTTTGAGAGTGAGGGGGGAGAAAGTTCATCAAAAAATTTTAGCATCTCAATGTGTTTTAATCATCTCTATTTATAATGATTGAATCCAAAAATTATAACCATTTAATTGTATTGTTTCATTGAACAAAGAACACAACTCTATGAATAATTAAATATGTAATTATTCATATGAAAGATCATTTGATTCATTCTAACTCATTCACTATTCAAAATTACAGCTTTACAACTATAGTCGATTCCACCCCAAGGGGAATAAATCATTTTCTTTGTATTTTTGGTTTCTTTCAAGGGAGAGATCTTCTCTTTTAAAGGATATTTGTGCAACATTGATATTGATACATGAAAAGGTTAGGGAGCTTGATCCCTCTACTTTTTCGTGTTCTTGTACTAAGATGGTATATTTCTGGTTTTTACCTCATAACAAGGGTGACTAATTTGTTGTATGGATTGTCAAACACTATGACACATTATATTTGATATATTGTCTGGTATATCAGAGGTTGATGCCCCAGATGGGATTATATAAGCCATTCTTGAAGGAGTCTTGCTACTACTTCCTAATTCTGAAAATTTTAATATAGTTATTTTATCTTCATATTATGCAACTCTTTCAATTTCCTGAGATCTGAGAGGCTTAGATGTATGTAACATCCATCTTTGTTGGGAGTTTTACATCAGACCATTTAATAGTTTTTGGTACCACTAAGTTTGATTTTTCTATATTAACTTTGTAATAGTAATGTTCTTCCTTTTGATGATTCTAGTAATCTAGCATTTAGACATATAATGTTCGTTACTTTGTAATAAACTCTATATGCTAATGCTAAATTATGATATCCACGTATCATATCAAATCCTGCTAGTTTTAAATTAACAATAAAAATTTTCAATGCATGTTGATCCTTTAATGATATAGTAAAGTTTGGACAGCAATTAAAATATACGGTCCTTCACACGAACTAGATTCTATTATTCCTAGTATTTACAAACACATAAAATTAAATTATTTAAAATAATAAAGGTCAAAGTTGGAAAACAATTTATAAAAAAAATCAACTACAATTTTTAGAAGAAAAACAGACTATCCAATTGATAAAAGGGTCTCCCCTTTGTCAACTTGAGTTCCATTTTTGACGAAAATGTGTAAAATCTTTTAATGCACTGGACCAATTTAAAAGCTTATACCCTTAAAATTGTCCAATATATCTTACCATTTTATAGAAAATAAAATTTCAAGTTTAGAGTTTCCAAATAACTTTTTCTCACTTAGGACCTCCACCCTTACTGTTTGACACATGTCAAATAGTACAAAGCTATCATTTTTTTTTTTATGCGACATACACATCCTCCGGTTTCGTGCGAACAAATTCATGAAAAGTTATTTTTTCATACAACTTTCCGATGAATTCAGTCTATAAAGAGAGAGACGCACCTCTTTTATCACTTGAGCCAGAGCCAATAGTACAAAGCTATCCTTTAAAATAACTAATCGTATTTGAATTCCTTTCCTCTTGGCGAAGGTATATCCGCCAAAATAGAAAAACACAAAGGATGACAAACAGATTCAGCACCAAACAATTTCATCACAAAATTGAACATTTTTGCCTGTCCCAATTTCTATGAATGCTCCAGCCATGAATGCATGAATTAATTTTCCATTAAGAACTAACAGAATGACATTACATGAAAACTTGGACACCAAGCTTACAGGATAAAGGAATAAAAATCAAAAATAAAAGAAAAAGTAATGTATCCAATACTAAAGGACTACTTAACACGATACAAGCCTACAAAGGCTAACTTAGAGAACTAATCACCATGAATTGCAATTAGCAACCAAAACAAAAAAGAATAACTAGTCACATAAAAGTCCCAAACATCATGGAATAAAATGGGAGAGAGTTGAAAGGATAGCTACCATGCCTAAGCAATGGCATATGTGATTGTCTCTACGTCTTTAGGTCGCCACATGGATTTCTGGACAAGCAGCAAGCCCTCCTTGTCCTTCGAGTAAGTCATGTGGACTTCCCACTGCATGGACCTTAAAATATTCTCAAGATCGCTGATGGTCTCAACATTGTCCCGAACAATAAGCTTCCCTTCTGGCCTTAGTATTCGATCAACCTCTGTAACCACAACCACAAAATTGCACCTACAAGCCCATAATCAATAGTGAAGTTAGGCTGAAGCAGATAATGAATAGCATATTATGGCAAACACACTTTCAGGCTGGAAATAGGGATTCTGATCCTAAACCTTACATGATAAAAAAGGTAAATGAAACTTTTTATATATTAAAAAAACACATTAATGAAACTATGACTCAAAGAAATATGAAAAAATGACAATCTGATAAAAACACAAACAGAAATCAAGAACATGGTGGAAAAATCAAAATTATTTTAATCTAAGAACTTTGCTAGGAGTCATAAACAAAAGTCTTCAAGAACAAGAGTAATATTTATGCTTTTACCTACTGAAGGAAAACATAAGTTACCCAGCAAGGAAAGTGCAAAGGGTTGAGTCAAGAAAATGAAAATATTGATACAAACCTCTTTTTAACCTTGGAGAATAGATGGTCAGCATGGAGAAGATCATAAGACCTTGGATAGGTGCTAAATGATTCACACCAATCATGATACATACCAAATAGACCTCTTTCATATATTATGGGAAGTGTATCTGGAGAGTCAATTGGGACCACATTCATGACCCATAAATTCAGATCTTTGAGTGCCGCAGCAAATCTGTGAGCATACCACAGTCAGAATCAAGGAAAAGAAGATGAAACAATAAAATAACGAAAAGAGAAACCTGTCAAACCATCATAGCATTCCTACTTCATTGAAAATAATTTTTTTTGGTGCTTACCCTCCATAAACAGCTCTCATGTCCATGACATTTCTGACAGATGACCAGTTTATTCCCATCCCATTTATGTATGACTTGGTTACCACCCGTTTCCAGTGCTCATTGTCTGCAGCAAAATCCTCTGGCGCTGCTTTGCCATAAACTCCAACTTGGGAACTCAACAACCAATAAGGTGATTTTTCCAACCTTGCTGGCCATTGCTCAGGCCACTGAGACCCACGTTCTGCTGCATCTACAGGCACTTTGTGCATGCACGATTGCAGTGGTACATTCCTATAAATAAGAATCAAATTAAATGGCCGTTTGGATATCTATATTGCAAGAGATCGATATTTATTCTATAGTGAACAGAGCAATGATAGTCTTAGGACGGGTGACATGCTTGCTCAAAGAATGCAAGTTAGCATATTGTTAGCCGCTCAATGAATTTTTCTAGTGTCATCTTAAAGATGTGTTAGATTTGTTTTTAGCCAGAAATAGTTTTTACATCCAAGTCAAAAAGAAATATTACCAGGCAGCATTTGGATCATCAGACTCTGGACACAGTGGAGGCTCTTGTTGTGACCTTTGCTCATAGCAGTCGTTAGAAGTAGGCTTCTTAAATGTTGCTACAGCCACCCCGTTTACTGCATCCTTACTAGTTTTGTTTACAAGCTCCCAGCACATAGATTTTGTTAGTTCAACCATAGCTGCAGAAAATATACACATAAATGCAGTAGATGTTGACACAATAGACTTCTCACACTAGATCCAGAGATAGTACAACGGAATTATATACCTCTCCAGATTTCAACATCTTCAGGAATTTTCTGATAAACAGGAGTAGCAGACCACACAAAGAAACCACCAGGTCGCAGCACACGGTTTAACTCGAAGAGGAGTTTACCACCTGCAATATTGCCAAGACCAGTGAATATTCAAGCACTGCAAATTGATAAAATACACAGCAGCAACTGATTACTATGACTTGAAGATGACTCACAATAAAAAATTTATAAATTAGGTTGTAATATACCTTCTATATGCCATGGCACTCTACATCGTGCACAATGAACAACATCAAATACTCTGCCAGGGTAGGGAAGTCTCTTAGTACCCATCACAGCAGACACAGCGGGAATTCCCCTTTCAAGTGCAAATTGTACTTGAGCTTCATGTTCGTCTTTAGGTGCAAAGGACATAGCAAGCACATTTCTGTCAAAAAGAAAACCTCCAAAGCTGGCAACCCCACATCCAACGTCCAATATTACACGAGAGCGTTTTCCCCATGCTACATCATTCACAGACTGCAGAATAAATAATCAAACATTATGAGTAAGTTGATAGAACACATTGCAGGAGAGGAAAAGATTGACCATGAATAAAATTCACAGTCATTTGGAATGCAACATGGAATTCAATGGGTGGTAAACAAGCATTCATTGAAATCATATAAAATATTTGCTTATAGATTCATACAATCAAAATTGCAGATGTAGAAAGCCTCACAACAAATGAAACTGATATATCACATGTGCACATAATCAACATACGTGACACACACAAACATATATTACATATGTCCAGAATGTTAACATAATATAAGCTTCTTGATTCTCCTAACAGGAGTGCATATTAACCACAAAACAAATTCATGGATACTCCAATGCCAACTCCCTTTCATGATCAATTAAGCATAATGATTGAATGCATCACTATCCTCATCTTGGAAGAAATGTTCCAACAAAAGCAAGAAGTTTCACATCAAGGAAATGCTTCTAACATAAGATCATGTCCTCTTTCATGGAATGTAAAATCGTAGGTTTAAGATAATTATTAGAACAAAAATCAGCTTGAAAGTATTCATTATGTTTGCCTTTACCAGCAGCCCATAAGTTTTTTTATGTTAAAATCCACTAATTTTCTTCCTTTACTGAAGATATGTCTTCTATAACTTCTAATTACAGGAAACATTAACTTACTAGAAGAAATGCAATCAGCAATTCCTGATAGGGCTTTAACAGATAAGTTTGTTATAATTCAAATTTTAAGAGAATGGATTCTAGGTAAACAGAAGGTTGACATGGACGATATGTTGCATAGGCTGAATTAAAATTACAATCATAACAATCACAGTCGACTGATAATGGAAATCGAGAGAGTTGACAATAATAGCTATAGTGCTTCTCAATAAGGTAATGAAATGCCATTTTCAGCTAGAGTTTCAGGTAAAAAGTCATTAATATAAAAGTTTTTATCATGTGTTATATAAATATTACCACCATAATAATAGCCAACAAACAGAAATATAGACAAAATGAGTATTCAACAAGTAAAGACCACACCAGGGGGAGTGAGACACAGTTATCGATGATGTCATATAATAATGAAGTTTGAAGACAATACATTCATTTTGAGCACTCACCTCTTCTATGAAGTCAATATAATGAAGAGCACCATGCTTAAACTGGGTTCCACCACCAGGAAATGTGAGGTATTCCCCAGTAACTTTCACCCAATTCTGATGCCCCTTAAATTCTGCCAGCTTGGTATGGGGAACATTGTAGTACCAAATCTGCAGCAGCAGGAAAGCATTTGTTAGTTCGTCTTATCCAGTACAGAATTAAAGTGAAAAATGAACCAGCACATGTTAAGTTTAAAGTACCTTATCCCTGCTTTTTGGCCACTCAATTGGGCGTTTGTATCCTTCAGGAAGAGGAACAAGGCAGGTTGGTGGTTTTTCTGGACAGTGCCTCTCTCGATGTTCATAATGTTTGGTAGAAGGGAGATGCCTGATAGCTTCCCAATTGTCAAGGCAAGGGATATAGTCAGGCCCAGCGGTGGAATTGCAAAGCTTCCAACTGTATTCCTTGGATGATAACTGAGCCTCCTTTTCATTCTTTGATTCTGTCGCCTGAGTAGAGAATGATCCATTCTGAGTCATGGTTTCGTTCAAAAGTTCAGACTGAGCACCAGATGGGAAAACTTCATTTAAGCTCTGGTTTTTCAACTGACCATCATCTTTTGCCTCATAAGAGCTTTTATCCGACTCCTTGTTATCATTTTGATCAACCTTCTCCTTGATCTGACCATCCACCTTATCCTCATTAGTCTCATAAGAACTTTCATCTGGTTTCTTTTCACCATCATCAGAATCAGATTTCTTGTCATTCTCATCGGAGTCAGGTTTCGCATTGCTTTCTTCAGTATCAGACTTTTTGTCATCAGAATTCTCTTCAGAATCCCCTTGTCCACCCAACTTATCACCATTGTCATTGTCTTTCTCTCCACCTTCAGAATCCAATTGCACATCATCCTTCTTAGACTCATCCAACTTATTAGACTCTTCAGTATTCTCTTGATTTTCTTGTGTATTTAAGTTGGTGTTGCCCATATTCGAGTCCCCTTTGGTGGCATCCTCAGGTAAATCCCCGGGGTTATCTTCAAATTGCGGTGTGTTACCACTGTCAATCCTATCATTGATTACAGGCGTAACCTGATCCTTGAGCTGATTTTTCTTTTCTTGAGCCGGATCGTCCCCGTTTTGAACAGGAACAACCGAGGACGAAGTCATCATCCAAATCCCAACTAAACATAATCCCACGAAAACCACAATGGTGACAGTGGAACAATAACTCGAAGACGACGACTTCCTATTATTATTATTATTATTATTATCAATTCTACTATATTTTCCTAAAGCCATAATCACTATTTCCTTCCTTTTCCAATCAATTCTTCAAAATTTCACACCTGAATTTTTTTTAAGATAAAGGAAACCAGAACTAAGTTAATGAATCATCAAAAAAAATGCTGCTCGAATGGGATCTAAGAAATTAAAAAAAAAAAAAAAAAAACTTTGACATAGAAACAAAGCAACAGAGCATATAAGTGAAAGTTTTAAAGTCCAGATCTAGTAAAACAATGCTATGTAAAGAATAAAAAAAAAGCATAGAATGGCGTCGCATCGCATTGGATCTGCAACAAACAAAGAAATCTATATCGTAAACAGAAAAGAAATATACCTGAAAACAAAAATGAACGGATCTGAAAGAGAGAAGAGAGCTTTAACAGTCGTTATTGATTCATTGTTTCTGCATTAATTCCAGCTTTTAGCTGTCGCTGAAAATTTAAAAAATATATATATAGGTTTGGAGTTTTTTTATTCGTTTAATACAACGGTCCTAAGATGATATATAAAAAGCGAAAGAACAAGAGGGAAAAAAGGAAGGCGTCTTCAATAAGAGAACACGGAGAGAATGAGACGGCCCCGGGAAAGGGAAAGGCCGTGAAATCAGTAGGATAATTATTTAGTATGTCTATTTTTTTCTTTTCTATATTTTTTAGAGGAGAGAGGGTGAAAGCAGATAAGATCTGAGAGCATTTCACCTGAAATTTTTTTTTTATAAAAGTATTCTGTGTTGACTTGACATGTTTTCAAAATAATCGTTTATTAAATTTAAATAAATATGTTTTATTATATAATCATTATTCCTTATCGTGATAATAACGTAAAAATGTCATATTAACTTTAAGTGTCATTCACATCATATTACGTGTTATTATCGATGTAACTTTAAAAAATTTTTAAAAAAATTTTTTATTAATATAATAATATTATTTAATACTTATCACGACTGTTAAAAATTAATTATGATAAAATATATATATTTAAATTTTAATAATTAAATTAAAATTTTTGAAATATAATTAAAATAATTTAATTATCGATAGTATTATATACTCAATTTTTTATTTTCCGGATCAAAAGGTACTTTTGTAAATAACAAAATTATTTATTCGAACACTCACTCCTTAAAATGACAATATTGCCATTCCATGGACCCTACAAATGGTGACATTTCTTTTTCAAAATAATAAAAATCGACATTATTGATTTGAGGAAATTTTTTACAGTTTAGAAAGAACGAAAAAAAAATAAAAGAATAATCTTGGCTCTATTAAAGAATTAGAATGATGCTCGCACTTAGTAGCTATATTTTTAAATAATTTTAATTTAAAAATTAAAAGTTAAAAAATTAGAAATTTATTATATAAATTTATTACATATAATTTGTTGGAAAGTACAAAATTTTTCGTCAATTATCGACTTAAATTTAAGGAAATTAATTTTTTTATTTAATGTCATTATATATTATTTTAAAATTCACATTTAAAAGTTTTAATCTCTACATTTATACTCATATTAACACGCTTAAAAGAATGTGAGTAGATTTATAAGGAAAAAAAATTATCTTGATTATATATTTTTCATCAACTATTATGGATTTATCATATTTCATTTTTTATGAATTTTGATACTTTGATTTTATTTTTTTTTTATTTATTCTCTATAATTTAATTAATTTTTATATTGAAAAATTTTAAGACATTCTTAATATTTTGATAGAGTTAATGAAAATATACTAACCATAAAAATTATTTTAGAAATTATTTATAACTTATTTAATCCTCATTTTAAAATTTCTAAGACTTTATTAATATTTTGGTAGATTTTATAAAATTCTCATCAATTTAAAATTTTATTTTAAAAAATTATCACTATTTCTAATCAAACTTTCATCATTGTACATTTAAATAATTAATTAATTTTATATTTTAAGAATGTAATTTTTCAAAATATAATTCTATAAATTAATGTAATATTAAAATAAAATAGATAATTAAAGAACACAAAAAATTTAAGTAAATATAATTCAAAGAAATTTAAAAAAAAAAGTTAATTGTCTTTGGTAGATTAATTTGGATTTGATATCGGAGGACTTTAATTGATATGAACTTAATCTTAAACTTGGATTTGAGTGATTGGATTGAATGATACTTGAATGAGCCCAAAATAGAAAGCTCAACTTCTTTGATGTCATGAATTAAAAATAATAAAATAATTATTTTTACATGGACGTGTGTCAGACAAATAATTTTATAAAATTTTTTATATATAGTTGTCTATATTCATCATTATGACATCAAGACATGAGATGTAACATGTAAACATTTTATTATTATGGAAATCACATGTTAGAATATGTCAAAACTTCACTAAGTTACTAACATGAAATTTAAATGCTGATGAGAGTTCAATCTCACGTAATCAAGGTCCATGAAAGTGAAGCTTTCATCTCGTGCTTCTAAATGCCACCTCCGGTGGTCAAAATGGGAACCTACACATACAAAAATGATAGAGAACTTCTCTTTACCATTTTTTTAATGGAAGTTATGAAATCTAATCAGCTGCCTCATAGTATAATCCACATACACTAGTATAACTATTATATTTTTTGGACCTTTGAATTAAAATTAAATTCATGACTCATTTAAATTAAAATAATATTTTTTAATTTAGTAATTTTGATATATCTTATTTATTTAATGTAAAAAATTGCCGCCTATAATGAGTGAGCAAAATCTTATATGATAAATAACTACCAAAAGATACTTATGAGGGGTTTTTTGATTTAAAACAAAACAACTACCTTGACTAGTTATTGACTTTGAATTAAAATGGATAAAAACCTCAAGCCCTTCTCTTTTTCATGAAAAATGACAACCGGCCATATGAGAAAAACATGAAAAAATTATTCCTCAAACATGAATATGCCGTGTTCTTTTCTTCTCTCAATGAGACATGGTGTTCGACTGTAATGAGAAACAAAAATAATGAATATATTAAACTAAATCAAGAATGAGATAAATCTCATTCATGTGCGATTATATAATTAATCACATAAAAAATAAGAGAGGAAACTAGTGAAATTAGCATAGAGAATGAAACTCTCCAAGAAATCTTATGTTTTGATGTTTAAGGACTTACACTGTAATTAATGAATAATTTTCAAATATGTAATCTTGTCCCGATCAGTCAATAAGTTGGCATCATTTTCATAACTCTTTCATAAACAAACTTCTGCTATGTTTTCACAATTTCAGTAAATCTTTCACATCATTTTCGATGTATGATCTTTTATACAAATTATATTATTAATTTGAATATATCATAATATAGTACCAATTGACATTCATCAATATAGTTTGATATAAAATAATTTTATTAGTCCACTTACATAAGATAAAAGCAACTTCACAATCGTATATGTATAAAAAAGTAAGATTTAGATCAATCATATCTCAAATTTTGAACTTATTTTTTTCCAAATAATTTTAAAGTTAAAACCCTCTCAAAAAATAATATTAATAAATTAGTAATATAGTTGGTTATTTTATTAAGATATTAAATTATAATATAAATATACATATGGGAATTATTTTTTCACTAATTAAAAATAGATTTATCAATTTAAAACTTGATTTTTTTCCTAATTCACTTAATTTGAATCCTATCCCTTAAAACTCACTAGTATGTGTCCCCTATTTCATTGCGGGATTTTTTATATATATATTTATGAATCCTTTTAAGGAGGACTTCATTTGTATTAATATAAGAATTATATATATAAATAAAATAATAAAAATGTATTTTATAAATAAATATATTTGTAATAATTTATTAGATATTAATTTAATTTTTACTTTTAATGATTATTTTATTAATTTTAAATTAAATATTTCAAAGTTACCAACTTAATTTAACATATCAAAATTTCTTTTCTTTTGAAAACTGAAATAAGCATACATTTGATTATTTGCAATGTTGTATTGACTAATTAACTGATAAAAAGAAAATTTTAAAGAAAAAAACTATAGATATTTGCAACATTTGATATTTTATATTAATTGTATATATATTAGGTACATAGATAGACAGATTTGTTAATACTCTCATGCAACATTGTATTCGGATTTTTTTTTATATATTTAATTAATTCTCATATTGATAATTTTTAAGAATCTTAAAATATTTTTATGGAGCCAACAATTATCTTAACTCAAGAATTTATTTAGGAAATTTATCATTTTCTAATCAAAGTCTCCTTCTTGGATTTTCAAACAATTAATTTATTATATATTTTTAATATATTTTTATCAATTTTAATTTTTATAAAATAATTGAATAAATTATCATAATAATAACAATAGAAAATTTTATTAATGAACATAAAAATACTATAATAATTTTTTTATTTGATTTCAAGCTTTGAATTTTTATTGTGCTTGCTTCCAAATGAATTGGATGATACTCAGATTAAGCCAAGCTAAGAAATTTTTTTCTAAAATGGATCAAACAAAATTCCAACCCGATTAATTCCCTTCAAAACCAACAAAAAATAATATAATTATTGACACAGCCCATAAAACTAAATATGTGTCAGTCATTAACGCTCAAGGGAATTCTTCTAATGTTCTCTTCTTTTGAAAGAACAATAAATGATGAAAACCACACTCCAATAACACAAAAGAAAGGAAATTTGTGCCTATAAAAAGGAAAATATTGGTAAAACATAAAACAACCCACAACTAAATTTATGCAACAATTTTGACCTACAAAAACTCATATATAACCCACCAAAAAAAATAGTATAGTTGTCATCATGATCTTAATTCTTATGAAATCCTTTTAATACAAGAAAGTATTGATGGCAGTGTACAAAAATTGACTAAAGAACTCGATTTTCCTAAGTAAAGTTTTGATTTTAAGTCTTAAAAATGAAAAAAATAGGCACCGAAAAAACTTACCCCTTTTATGAAATTCGAACCAGCTTGACTTCAAATTAATCGGGGCTCAAAGTAATTATTGGATATTGGGGGATCTCAAACCAAAAAAATTTATAAAATCATAATAAATAGAACATACCAAAAAAATAATTTATGGAAATAGTGTTACTTTTCTCATCTTCATAATTAGTTCAAAACTTTACTTACGTGTTCTTTTTTCGTTGTAATTTTAGAAGCTTAGCTTTGACTTCAAGTTGGGTTCTCATGGAGTGAGGCCAAAGAATATGTTATTAAGCTTTGGATAGGCGTCATCAATATATTTTGGATAACGCAGGACTAGTTTAATATTATTATTGTTGCAGTTAAATAAAGTTTAAATTAAAAAAATTACATTTAAAAAATATAATTAAAAAGTTTAGGTCTTTGATATTGTTGCGAATAAATGTTGTGAATAATTGAAATGTCAAAAAGATATGTAAAAAATAATAAATATTAAAAATATAAAAATATTAAAGTGATTTATTTATCTAAATATACTTTTTTATTGGAAAACATGTTTTGAATTTTTTTTATTTGGATTGAAAAATCAAAAGTTTAAATTAAAAAGTCTTTTTTTTTTTTTTTTTTACTTTTTAGTATTGCATTTGAAACAAAAACAACTTTTGAGCACAAAAACTATTTCACCAACAATACTAAATGAGACTTTAATATTTAATCATTACTGCAAAGCACTCGATGCTATTATCTATATTCACAAGATATTAAACAGATATGTGTGCCTCAAGTTGATGAAAA